TTGTTCATTCCCAATTGGTTCTTCCTGAAATCCATAATAGCAAAAGGGAACCAAATGTTAGTTACTTACTGTGTTGTCTGAACCCCAGACAGCTGGCCTGTTGTGTTCTTTAGAAGTCTAAATAATAAATCAAGGTTTGTTCATGGTGTATGAACTGTGTTTTGCAAAGCATATAATGAATCATAATATGATTTCTCAGTTCAGAAGTCTCACAGGTGAAACTATTTCTGTTTATTTGGGAGAGAACAGAGAAGCAGTTGCTACCTGACTCTTAACAACACTAAGAAATGGAAGTACCGTATTTTCCGGCGTATAAGACAACTGGGCGTATAAGACGACCCCCGAATTTTCCTGTTAAAATATAGGGTTTGGGCTATACTCGCCGTATAAGACTACCCCTCTTCCAACGCACACCAAATAAAAATTAAAAAACATCAACTGGTTCACCCACAATGTAAAAGCAGCTGTGCTAGACCCAAAATGGCCCCTGAAACAAGCAGGAACCTCACACAGCCACAAAAAGCCCCAAAAAACAACTTTCACACTTTACACACACACAACACTCCTCTCCTGCGTGAGCTGCACTGGTTCCCAGTGGTCTTCCAGGTGCGCTTCAAGGTTTTGGTTACCACCTTTACAGCGCTCCATGGCTTAGGGCCTGGTTATTTACGGGACCGCCTACTTCCACAAACAGCCCCTCACCGGCCGGTACGCTCTCACAGAGAGGGGCTCCTCCGGGTGCCGTCAGCCAAGCAGTGTCAACTGGCGGCCCCCAGGGGGAGGGCCTTCTCTGTGGGGGCACCCACTATCTGGAACGAGCTCCCCCCGGAGATACGGAGGATCCTGGATCTGCGCACTTTCCGCCGTGCTCTTAAGACCCTCCTATTCCAGCAAGCCGGCCTGGCCTAATTTTCTCCCCTTTCTTTTTAATTTTTTAAACTGAAATTTTAATTTGTTTTAAATTATGGGGTTTTTTAATTGTCTTGGGCTAAATTATTTAATTTGGGTTTAAATTGTTTCTAACTTTTGTATTTATGTATTTCATTCTGTGCCTGTTCACCGCCCTGAGTCCTTCGGGAGTAGGGCGGTATATAAATTTAATAAAACAAACAAACAACACAACACAACACAACACAACACAACTGGCTCACCCACAATGTAAAAGCAACTGTGCTAGACCTAAAATGGCCCCTGCAACAAGCAGGAACCTCACACAGCCACAAAAAGCCCCAAAAGCCAACTTTCACACTTTACACACACAAAATTCCACATACAGCTTTGTGAGATTTTGTATGTTTGTGTAGTTAGAGTGAAACACTACAAAAACACACTAAATCTCAGAAAGCTGCACAAATATTATTTTATTTTATTTTTATTTTTATATGAAAGCTAAATTTAAAACTTCCTAAACTTTAAATGGCTAGGTCTAAAAAAGAACAGCTAAAAAAAACCTGTTTAACTATTTTTTTTAAAGATCCCAAAGGGGAAAAAAACTTACCCAATAGAACAGGGGTATCCAACCTTGGCAACTTTAAGACTTGTAGACTTCAACTCCCAGAATTCCTCAGCCAGCTTTGTTTTGCTGGCTGAGGAATTCTGGGAGTTGAAGTCCACAATTCCCTGCCTGCTTGATTGCAGGCAGGGAGTTGCTTGCTGATGGAATGGATTCAGGCAAGCGAAGCGAAGCAAGGCAAAGTGAAGCAAGGCAAGCAGCTAAGGTAAGCAAGCTGGAGGGGGAAAACTTTTTTCCTTCTCCATGGCTCTGGCGATCCCAGCTGAGTTGCCTGATTAGCAGATCGTCAGAGCTTGGATCGTCAGAGCCATGTGAAAGGAGAAAAGTTTTTTCCTTCTCCATGGCTCTGGCGATCCCATCTGAGTTGCCTGATTAGCAGATCATCAGAGCTTGGATCACCAGAGCCATTTAAGGCTCGTTAGAGCCTTTTGGACTGGTCTGCCTGGTTACAGGAGAACGACACCCGGCGTATAAGACAACCCCCGACTTTTGAGAAGAGTTTCATGTGTTAAAAAGTCGTCTTATACGCTGGAAAATATGGTAAATAAAATTCATTTATTCCTATTTCTAATTTTCATAGAATTTAATAGAATTTTTAAAACCTGTAATGTTTGCCTCTCATCAAAATACATAGAGACATAAATCTGTGAAAAATTGCTTCCTCAGTAAGGAAGAGGAACCATGTACAGACAGTCCTCGACTTACAACCATTCGTTTAATGATGAATGGCATGAAGTTACAATGGCATGAAAAAAGTGATTGATGATGATTTTTCACACTTATGACCGTTCTAGGATCCTCATGATCAAAATTTGGATGCTTGGCAACTGGCATGTATTTATGTTGGTTGCTGTGTCCCGAGGTCATGTGATCACCTTCTGTGACCCTCTGACAAGCAAAGTCAATGGGGAAGCCAGATTCACTTAATAACTGTGCTACTAATTTATCAACTGCAGTGATTCACTTAACAACTGTGGCAAAAAAGATCATAAGATGGGGCAAAGCTTATTCAACAATTTCTTGCTTAGCAATGGAAATTTTGGGCTCAATTGCGATTGTAAATCAAGGACTATGTGTAGTCATAATTGTATTTTCCTATAATATTGGGGTGAAAATCAAAAGAACTATTATATTGGTTCCTTGACCACTGATGCATTGATAGGATGATACAGCAAATGAGAACCAAGCCTTGTTTGCTATGCCTATGCTATGCTATGCTGTGATAATATTAGTATATTATAGCGTAGTGTAGTGTAATGTAATAATACAATACAATATATTTGCAGATTTGATTAAGATAAAAGCAATCATTTTTATGTGGAAGGGCTTCAGGAAAACCAAAGGTTGAAAACAGTAGTAAAATGCTCAGCTCATATACATAAATAGATCATCTGCAATATTTTTTCTTTCACAGTGCTCCATTTTTCATCAAAAAACATAGACAAGAAAAGAAGAATCCTATTTTAGAAACTTTATTTTGCATTCAACTGCACAATTTGCCAAACAAGATCAATAAAACCAAGTTTAGTTTTTAAAGTGATTATTGAACATTTTGGAATAGAAATTGAGTTTTAATTCATTCAAATATTATTGAAAAGTGAGCAAATGTTTCTGTCTAATATCTCTAAAATCTGAACTGTTTGTTATATTGGGAAGTCAGCAAGCATAGGTATTTTTTTGTTCAAGACATTCTGAAAATTGATATGTGCCATATGTTTGGAAGTTCAGGAAAAGTGTGCGCACCAAATTTTGCAGCTTTTCAAATACAATAAAATAAAATGCAAATTTTAGTGTAACAATCACATGTAAATAATGTTTAATTAATTCTATTAAAACAGCACTAGAAAAGATATACAATTTCAGCTTACTGAAGAAGGCTGGACATTTCCTACAGACTAATCACTTAGAATTTGGCCAAGTAAGTACTATTGACAGTTAATACCAGTGTTTTCTTTTAATATAAGGACTGTTATTATGGTTTGTCACACAGCCAGATATTTAGACTGGATTTGGCATTTTTAGCTATGTATCAAGTCCTTCCCAAGGACCTGGGAGAGATAGATACTGTTGTTTGATGGTGTTAATGGTATTGTTGCAGGATGTAATTATGGTGATGATGATTAAACATTTACCTTAAAAACGTGAACATTAAGATAAGGTTCATATTCGTTTTTAGTAAAATTGCAGTGTTTCCCTTTTAAAGGCTGTATCAAATGCTGTTTCTCAGTCTAGAAATGAATTTCAAACTGTGTAATGTTAATGTTTGGATGTTACACAGCAGAATACAACGCGTTATTTTAAAAAATTCTCAGAGATCTCCCAACAATGCTCAATCAATTGTAATGAAGGCACGAATCTGTTTACAAGCTTTCTTTCCCACTTTATTTTGTAGTTGAGTTTTCTTCATCCTTTTTTCTGACACCTTCATGAGAATATTTTTGCCATAGACCCTAAGTTACTCAGTACTCTTCCCCTTGTTTTAGCTTATTTTTCAAGGTCTCACTTACTACAGTTTGCTTCCTCTTTGTTTCTTCTACATTTTCTTTCCTAAAATTCCCTTGCTTCTTCTTGACTTCCCTGCCGCTAGTAAATATTTTCTGTTCCATCCAACCTTATATTCATCCATCCTTCATTTGAGCTCAACTTTATCATTATGTCCACAGCTACATAACTTTATTCATTTAGAAACCTATAGATTTCTAAAGTTTAGAAAATGATAACTTTTCTTCTATAAAGGATAACACATATAAAGAAAATAGCTGATACACAGATTTTCTCTATAGCTTTATTTAATCCTATAGTGATAAAACAGTATTTATAAATTTTAACAAGGAATTTACAGTGGCCTATGCAATATTTTCTTTTCATCCTGTTTCTCTGTACATAGATAAGTACTGATTTTTTATTTTATCGAGTAATGCATTCATAAAGATACAGAAGTGTCCCTCTTAAGCAGAAAAAGTGCCATCAGGAAGCTTAAAAATAAGACCCAAACATGATAAGAGCAGATAACAATTATTCAGTAATTCTGAAATAATAGTTATCGTTAAAGGAAAATTATGCGAATAGCACAAAACTGCTACTAGAAATGACACAGTGATACAAATTCCCAATATCAGTGTGTCTTTTGTTGTTGTTGTTGCCATTTTCTACATCTTACATCTAAACGTTACAACTGTTTAGGAATATTTCTTGTAGTAAGTGGTCAAACAAGAAGCACAGACAATTTACCTACCATTCCCTCTGATTTTTATATATATATTCAGGTGCATGTAGAACATTATTTATAAACAGATTGCTGGAGTTAATTGGGATATTGCTAGAAGATATTATTATGATAATTGAAAATGGGCATCCACAAGCAATGAATCAATATCATTTAAATGTGCTAGAGACCAAACCTGACTTTGAATGCAAACTTTAAGTAGTCGCCTATTCATATACAAAATTTCTATATTAATCTTTACAGATTTTACACAGTGATTACCTGTGGATGTTATCTTCACCAGAAGGAACTCCACCAAGGTTTGCTATGCTTGTTACCTTCTGCAGTATCATAAGATGGGTAGTATTCTGTGGTGCCACAGAGATTGTAGCGGATACTTCATTCATACCAGTCAGCCTTCCTGAAACAGTAAAAACTGGGTATCAATGCAATTAATATTAAAGACAATGTACAGCCACTGAGAATACATTTAGTTTTTGTTAAAAGTTTATCTCTTCTTTTCTAAAGGGATTTTGGTATAATTTTTAAGAATACAGTATAAATATAAAAATCAATTATTCCTATTATTCAAATTTCAGTTGCATGAAGTACTTTTTGATAAGTCTATCTTCATCTGACAAAAAGATATTGAATGGCAACAGACAGAATAGCTAAGTTTCCCACCTCTACAAAGCTCGAACAACATTTGGCTCTTTCAATTACACCAAAAGAACGAATGCATTATTATGGAAATTCCCCTTTAAAAGTGTACATGTAAAGAAAAGAAAAGAAGACACTGGATTGGAAACCAGTGCAAGAAAAAAATAAACATAACATAACATAGGGTCAGCCCCTCCATCTCATGTGTATCATGTGAAGCCTGATTAATGTCTTGTGAAAACAGACTTTGCTTGCAGACAGGCACAGAACTGAGACACATGTCTCTCTGCTCACTAGGATCAAATGGAAAGAACAAGCACATCCAAGTCTCATCTCAAAGTCCATTCAGGCATGGCTAAATGATAGGCACAAAGCAATAATGGTTAGTGCTAGAAGCAGAAAAATATATTTATAGGAGTATTAACATGTTTAATTTGCTTGAATATCAAAGATTTTTTTTGTCCTTTAAGCCAAATGTTTCAGTCAAAGAAATATCAACATCATCCAGCTTTTTTTTTTAAAAAACAGCAAATTTAGTTAGAGCTGTATGTTCTGTTGCAGATATTTAAAAATTGAGATTAGGCAAATACTTTGAAAAAACACAGAAGCCATCTAAGGCTGCTTTTAAGCAAAAGCACAGGACTGGGATAACACTGTTGAGAGATGTGTGTACTCATTAAGGATTTAAACCTTCTCCATTAAGCTCTATTGAAGAGCAAATGCTGAATAAATGAATGCAACTATGTTTATGTTAAAAGCCTGTTTTCCGTACTATGTAATTAAGGGAAATATTGTACAAAGCCAGTACTTTTGTCAAGCTCCTGTAAATGGAAAGATGGATAGCACTCAGAGAAGGGAAGGCATTGCTTCATATTTAACCTTAACACTCTTGTCATTAATGGTTTGTCTAACTTGTTCTATAAAGACAAGGTACTGCTCCATTGAAGTAAAATTTAAAAAATCAACTAAACCATGCTTTTCAGAACAGAAGATTCATTATCATTGACTAATGTATTGGCATAAAGCAAAGTAACATCCTATCAAGTAAGGCACACATTCAATCTGCCTTACCACTACCACCACCCCCTTTATTTTTAACTCATGCTGTTTTATTGTTATAGGCAATTTGTACCACTCAGCATGACAGTGTAAACTGAATCAAGATTAATTTACATGCAAAAGAACACTTAGCATGGTAAGCAAATGTATTGTCTCGATTGCTGAGGTGGAAAAGAACCTGAAAAGAAAAAAAGGTGCTCTAATTAAGGGGCATCAAATATGATTGCTTGTGGTAGTTAAAGGCCAGAAAATAGGGAATGCCTGACCATTTAAAGAATTAGCACCTTGCTTGTTAAGGAGAGAGAAAATGTTGTAAGCATAAATCTTGATAAAAATCAAGCAAACATTTTGTGGATTTTCTTTTCTTTCTTTTTTTTAAAGATATAGCTTATATATATATATAAATCTACTGCCTGCACTTGGACCAAAACAGAAAGTTTTAAAAAATCCAGAAAAACAAATTGCCACTGAAAAGAATTAGGTTTCAAAAACAACATAATTGCAGATCTTGCATCTAATTATAAAAATGTATAACAGCAGCATTCCTAATGAATAACCAAGCAACTTAAATTGTAGCATGAAGCTGGAAACACAAAGGTTGTAGGATTATTATTTTTTTTAGTAACTTTGACATTATAAAAAATGCTAACATAATATTAAAATCATTGACAGAGATTGGATCCTTTGGCTTCTTCCTAAAGAATTCTGGATATTTAAGGAAAACGGCATGACACCTCTGTGAAGTGTGGTAGCCTATCATATTACAGAAAGAATTAGCACTGGTATTATTAAATGATTTGCATCAATAAACACTGCTCAATATTTGAAGTTGGAAACATAAGCTAAAGGACAGACCTAATTTAAAATGATTATGGAGAGCAAAGTCAAGACAAATTTCAGCTGCTGTTTCAAACTATGTTAGAAGGGAAGGGCTAGCACAACAAAGCCTATCAAGTAGAGCCGGTGCACAAATACCCCTTCCCATCTTAAAAATCTTATGCAGGAATATCAGCATTCATCATACACATTATACTGCATTATTATTTCTGTTGTAAAAATAATTCCAAAAGTTATTATTATCATTTTAAGAAATCCTGTTATTTCAAAATATTTTAGAAATGAATAACTATGAAATGAAGTATTTCTAGATACGAAGGTTTGAGACACTTCAGAAAAGGAAGAAAACTCAGAAATCATTCTATATTGATTACATTATTATACTTGGAAGGTCTTTTATCATAAGAAATTATGGGAAATTAGGAGAATCCTATCTGTGATTTATACTGCAAATATGTGCAAATTTAATCAGATGTTACTGATAGGAATAGCGGTTATTTTTAAGTAGATACAATATATTCTGGATCTCACTATTAGTAGTGGTTGAGTTTGTAGATCACATTAAGCCATTGCTTATTTAATTACGGTTTATTGAATACAGCACAATGGGCTAGCTTGTTGCAGCAACAAACTAAAACAGAAACCCATCATATTATTTTATGTGATAAGTGTGATGTGGGAACTGATCAGAGAGCTAGAATTGGAATGCATACTTCATAAGTCTTTCCATGTAAGCCTACTATAATTCCTTGAAATGCTGTACAGAGGTTGGACATAACTTCTTAATGGGATGTCTTTGGTGTGAGAAACTAGGATGTCCTTCTATTTATGGAAGGCTTTCTCCTGGGGAAACCTATGAGCAGAAAACCCCTTGATTTTATGTTTCCTGCATCTTAATATGAACATACCCATTTAGCAAGCATTATATCACACACTATTTAGGGAATTTCAGTTGTAGGATGCCTGCTTTTTCAAGTCTGCCTGAATCAGGCCAAATCTGGACACAATCTGATTTAATAGCCCTGCTTAAGAATTCCCTTTTCTATATTTTCTCAATGGCTTCTTAATCTTATTTATAAAACAAATAAAGCTAAGAACGAAGACTTCTATTATTATGAATTTTATAAAATAGCTGAAACATTTAACAAACAAACAAAAGAAGAAATTTTAAACTAGGGGTAAATTTCACAGCATCAGTCCTGCATCAAAGAATGAATTCAGGAAGACAGAAAGAGCCATACTGAAATGTCAAGAGGCTTCCATGGATTTACAAATACTTCATATAAACAAATTTTCAAATAGCTTATTCAGAGTAGCCTTTCTGCTCTATTAAACATAGCAAACAACTGCCAGATGTATTCAGACAAATAATCAACAACCTCAGAAGTAAAATGGCAGAAGAAAAAGGAATTTTGGCAACAACTCCATAGAGGGCCACAGCTATTCTCAAAGTGCACTTTTTCTATGCACTCTTGGTTCTGAATGGCCAACCATGGGGGGAAAAAGCTCTCAGTCACATTTAAGCATAGAAAACTCAATCAAACACCAGGCAAGCAAGCACACAATAAGAATGGGAGAGGGACAGAGTACAATATCCCATTTTGCTTAAAGCTACACTGCTGGAAAGCAATTTGAGAAGATGAAGGAAATTGTTCACAAAAAATATGAGAAAATCCAAAGGCTCACTCACCTTGGTTGCTGTGCTCACGTAACGTAGACTTTAGGCCAGCAAGAAGTAAGAATGGTAAATAGTTATGAACAGATTAAAAATAGAAATTACTGGCCTAATTTTAATATCAGATGTCAACTCCATGAAAATAATCTAACTGAAATAACTGATGAGTTATTATTTCAAGCCACTGAATGCAAGATAGAAAGACATATATAATATTATTCTGATGTACTATGCTCCTTTAACAAAAGCACACTTTTTGGGGGGTTTTTTGGGGTGGGGAATGTGATATACTAGACTGAAATAATTGACGATATGAGAGTATAACCTCACATAAGCCATTTAAAGAAACATATGAAATATGGGACAGCTGGCTGACAGAACCTGTCTGAGCATATTTGCCAATGGAAGCTAAGCAGGGTCTCAAGCCTGGTTAATATTTGGATGGAGAACTACCAGAAAATACTGGGGCTCAGGGTAGACAGAGGAACTGAAAAACATTCCAGTAAAAAATTATTTCTATGCAATAGAAAACTGTGTGGATTTTTTATCAGGAGAACTGACAAAAGGGAAAACTGTCTTCCAAAACTGACAGGGAGCTCAATTGAGAAGAAAACTTTATTTAATACAAAAGAGCTTCTTATATTTTGTGCAGGTAAACCAAGTAGAATTTTGGAAAATTAACAATCACTGTTCAAGTATGACGTTAAATTATTGTAAAAAAAATAATGCAACTAAGCGCATAAACCTTTTTATAATGTAGCTGAAGATACTATGCAGCCAATATATACCAGATTCAATATAAAACCATCATGTTCTATTCTATAGTCAGTGGTTTTTATACACCAGAAATTCTCATTGTATCTGAATAGCAGAATTCTAGCTTAATATTGGTTAATATGATATACCATTTTTTGGTATTTGCAGTGAAATCACCACATGGTAAAAAGAGGGAAAAAGAGAAAAGCGTATCCAAGAAGACACTTCAGGCATTATGAAGTTTTTGATGATAGGGCTATAACTTCATAGCTGATTTCTGATAATATGCCATGTGAAACACTAGAACTGGAGATGTCTGGAATGCTTACAATATTTTACAGTAAGATAATTTATTTATCTAATTTTAAATTTATTTCTCACCTCTTTCTTTTCTGAAATCCTTTTCTGTCATAGTTACTGGTAAAAGTAACTCTCCAACTGGAGGCTGAATACTAACACTGAAGTGATCATTCTTTGTACTGTGGAAGAAAACAATTACAAGTGAGAATTGTATGATTATGTACATTTTTACAAAAAAAAGAAAAGGAAAAAAAGAGAAAATACAAACTGATTTTTCCCAAGTAATTTTCAGCATTGTTTTTATTTATTACGTTAATTTTCTTTTTATCACTTATTAGGTAATTCCAAAGATGCTTTTTCAAAAGGCAGCTATACTTTATTTTTTCTTGAAGAAGTTTAGCTCCTCATCCAAGAAGCATCCCCGCAATTTAATCAGAACTGAAGATGCTTCTTGGATGGGAAGCAAAATGTCTTTGAGAAAAAACTAAGAAAATCCAGTTGCCTTTTGAAAAAGTACCTTTGGGACAACCATGACCTGAATGATTGAGAATCTCCTTAGGCACTGGTTAGGTAACTTGTTTATGGCTTATTACTCATCATCTTAATAATCTTTTGGCATAAGATTCCATTTTTAGGTACCACAGAACAAAGTTAAAATATAGGGATTAAAAGCAGCCCAACACGTACAACTGTTTCCTATAATGGTATCCAAACACGAGGCAAAACAGAAGGATGTTATGAATCTATGATAAAATAGCAAGATGAAAATGAAGTTTTGTTACTTTTCCTAGAATTTTTAAAATTAATTTCCCTCTGTACTGCTAACAATGGAATTCAGGCCAGAGCTTTAGTAGAAAATGATCCTAAAAATTCAACACCACACTAATTTTCCCATACTATTTTTCTTAATCTTCCCTGCTTTCCCTATCTAATCTGGATATTTTAAAAAGGTCCTTCAGAAAATTCAGGTACAGACAGAGCAATCAGGTACTGTGTTACATTTTTCCTTCTTAGATTAGATTCAGAGCCTCCCTCTGAACTTGAAGAAAAATTTCAAGTGCATCTTAAGGTTTCTCACACTGATCCCATGCCTGTAGATTAAGTCACTGTTCAGTTTCACTTTTTAAATAATTAAAAGAAAAATATAAGGTGAAAATAAGAGTGAGGAGCCACTATGAAAAGAAAGGAGAAACAAACAAAACAATCTACAATACCCATAAAAGAGAGCAAAAGAATTATTTTCGTTCATCTTATGATATGGACCAATCAATACCTGAAATGTTAAAACTGTAATTGTAAAGACAGTTCATGACTTTCTTTGATTCACAGTTTATGTGTCCGGGAACCTGGAAATTCAGGTACATGTTTATAAAATTAAGGGTCCAGGTAGTTGAATCAGAAAACATTAACAATTTAGTGTACAGGATGAAAAAAGCACACCTGGGAGGAAAGGTAAAATATAAACCAAACATAGTAACACTAATTCTGCAAATATAGTGGTCTCCCATAATATTAAAAAATGAAGACTCCTTCAAGCTGAGCTAAACCTTTGGTAATTGCATGGAAGTGTCCATGTAGCATCATGACAATTGTATGAAACTGATTTGCTTTCTTCTGTTTTTTTTTTTCTTAAATTAGAATTTTAGAATTTTCCAGCAGTTTCCATCCAAGAAGTAGTCGAGTTCTAACCCAACTTACTTTCTGCTGTCATCCAGGGCTGACGATAAAGGCTGAACAATTTAAAATCATAGCACGCTTGTGAAATAGACTAGGATGCTTTTTGAGCATTAGAGATGCCTGAAAGTATTATTTTGCTGTAGAATACTAATAGTAAATTAGTCCATAATCAATGGAAAGTCCCTTTTATTGTCTTACAAATATTAGTACAATAGTTTCTAACATAAAAATCAATTTGAGTAATATCCACGGTATTTAAATTAACCTCAAATATTTGTTATTGGTTTCGATAGACTTTTGACCTTATAAATATGAAGTGATATTGATTACTAAATAGGTAAATATAATGATAAATATAGAAGTAGTTCTTCTTTTATGAAGCAGATGAATAGCAGATAAAAATAAAAAAACCAAATTTTAAAATTCAAATCACTAACACTTAAATGAATCACAAGTACATTACCTTAGCAAACTAATAAATTGAAGTAAATCTAGGGTTAATTATTTTTAGAAATGTTATTCTAATCTGTAAGTACAATAAATCTACTTTAAAAACCTTATGCAATAGCTATACAGTAAAATGTTTAAAAATCTGATTAGTCTGCATGAAATCAATCTATTATTTAATTTTTTGCCTAAATTTTCAAAAGAGTAATGATGCTAGAAAAATGAAATTGCTCAACCCATTCAACACACAGCTTCAGGATAAGTAGATACAAAACCGTATTTTGCTTGAATCCAGATGTTTATTAAAATAAACTGCAGTCTGGAACAGCTAAAATACACTACAGCTTATAGGGTGTGTCTGTTAGCTGTGAGTTTAGGACCACTGTATGGTTCAGGGCTTCCTGCATTGAGACTTGCTCCTCCTGAGGTCCACATAGTATTGTCCTTCCTGGCATTTCATAAATGAATTCCAGACAGTATCCTCTCTCAAGGCAATCCAATTTTATTCCACTGTACCTTTGCTTATCTTCATCTGTAGTTTTTGTATTGGGTGGGCCAGAAAAATGAAAAACAAGTAAGTAAATAAATAAACTTTATTAGAAGAAGATTGTAAAATATTAATAAATACGTTAAATGATGATTTGAAAGTAACAACTCCAAAATCCTGCAGCACATATTAAAGAAAATATCAAGTTTACATTAAATAGTTAACTTATCTTTCCCAGAAGAGTTAACTATTAAAAAAACAAAAGAAAAGAAACTTAAGGGTCTTTTGTCTATGGCAAAAATGTTGTGATTTCCCAAAATCTAGCATATTATTAAGTGCTGTATAGCTTACCCAAAGGGTTTAAGTACAGATGCAAGGTAGTGGAATATAGCAAGGAATGTAATTTTTCAAATTAGACAACTGTCCCTTGCATTATTTAACATTTTGTTTGACAAGAGGATTGGAGATCCCAACTACCTGGATGCTGGAATTTATATTATGGCACTGAATATATTGAGCTTTATAAATGAATGTGAATATGCTCTATATAATACGTTGGTTTTTACAAAGTATACATTAAGATTCACTTATAAGTGAGAGATTAGCAGAGCAAGTTGCTATATACAGTAGAACCTCTGGTCACAAATACTTCTGATCATGACCAAATCGGGTATTTCTTGTAAGCGCCAAATTTCCTTTTGTTTGTTTACAAACAACAGCAACCCATGTGTGGCTGCTGCATTAATTTTGGTTAGGTTTGGGTCACGATCAAATTGGGTTGCGACCAAAGTTATGGAACGAATTATGGTCGTGACCAGAGGTTCTTCTGTACTATTCGTGAAGCTAATAAAGCTTGGGAAAATATAGTAGTCCTTTAATGCTGCATTCTATTGTAAAATATATAAAAAAGATGAATTTATCACATGATTTCACACAGATTGAAATAGTATGGTCATAATTTAGTCCAAAATATTAATTACATTATTTTATATTGTACATATTTTTATTTAGCTGATCATCCAAAACACCAAATGCTGAAAACTAAATAAAATAGGCAGTGTTTTTTTTTTTTTTAAAAAAACCATACTATTATGAATATTTATTATAAACAACTTTCTAACCCTGGTAAAGAAGTACGTTATAACCTTTAAGATTCTTTAATGAAAGAGAAATTAATTTTTCTTCATAGCATAGCCTAATAAATATAGCATTTATCAAAGAACACTTTCAGACATTTTAATTTCTTTCTGTTAAGTTTTCCCTCTTTTACCATAATTTATAGAAAGAACCACTTAATAAAAGAATTCTAAATGTTTTATTATTAATTTTTACTTTTTTTTATACCGCTTGCTTTTTCCTGAATTGCTAGCTCCAATATATTGGTTACTTTAAAAGTGTAGATTTTGTGACAAAACACAGTCAATGGATGGCATCTAAACCAATTGATCTACCCATTACCATTATCTCCCTCCCCACTCAAGCCTTACTACAAAGCTATTGATTTAAACACTGCTGATCGGTTTCCATTTTCTGATTTTGGGCAGGCTAATTAAGAAAGTGAGTAATTGTGATTACACTGCTTCAGGATCAATTACATTTGATGTAAGACAAAGTTCTCCCTTTTCGAACAATGTAAGGAAATAATTATCATCAGAATTGTTTTATGCTGGGAACCTTCCCTTAACTATAAACGAATGTCACATATATTTGGTCCTTGAAATGTGGACATAAAATATTCCAAACAAATATAAAGTCATTTGAAAGACCAGTGTAGATAAAACATATGCTCTGTTTAGAAGGTGTAAGAGAAAAATCTATTATTTGTGACATACAATGTAAGTGGTTTTGGGAAATGGAAACAATTTCTAGTCATCATAGAGACCTTTTACCTTTGTAATACACCACTACAAAGGGCTGCCAATAGAACTGCAGGCTGCAGAGAATATCACAAGGTACAACTTTTGGCCACTGGGATTCAGGTCTGAATGGCTAAGAGAAACAGACAGCTTATTGTATATTATCCTTTTCAGTCCAGCAAAAACTTCTGCAATGATTCTGAGTAAAAGTATGACTTCTGTACTTCACCATTAAATATCCTTCTTATAGGGAAATAAGACAAGAAGAGATCTGATGCTGTGTCCTTAGAATGGATGAAATTGTCAATCCTCCTGGGTAAACCAGACACCAAATAGATAAGCTAATTGCACATTACTGTAAGACTACATTAATCTTGAAAATCTGAAGGTACAAACTTTCCACCACCACTTTACCATCTGATCAATTAGGGTGGATCCTTCCTAAGTTTCTTCCCTGACCATTTAAGCCTTCTTCCCTTGTCTGATTCTTTCCTAGGCAGCCTCTCTTTTCCTTGCCCACCAAAGTCACCCACACATTCCATTACAGAAATGGAATGGCAGCTGCAATTGGTTCATCAAGCTGAATTTGGTGGAAGTGAGCAAGCTCTGAGAAGATTTAAACCTATAGTCATATAAATTTAGCATTTAGGCATCAGTTATTTTCCAGTCCCTATAAATTCAGCAAAATAGAATTTTTTTTGCTGAACTTTCT